TACCGTAGTTCTCACAGCTAAAGCCACTGTTCAGATGTTGTTTTTCAGATATTTGTCTGTCTCATACTGCTCCTGTGTAGCACTCGCTTCTTACACATATCATCCAAATGTTTCTGTTGTGATTTGATGTGATTTTTAACTGTGTAATGACTGAAATCGTTCAGTGTAGGGATATGAAGCTCCTCTATAATGCCCTTAAAACCTGCCAGATCTACTTTAGCTGTTTTAATATGAAAATAACCTTAGAATGTTCACCAGCCAAAAACTAATGCCTAAATATTATAGAAGAGATTTGATCTTGTTGCTAATTGTTGTTTAACCAACCCTGGCTCATTCTGAAAACGCACCTCTACATACGTTTCTATACCGCAAAATATGTCCCAGGATCTACGTTGTTTTGCAGCTTTTGTGAATCCAGCAGAGACCGCTGTGTACGCTTTTTGAGATCTCAAATGTCTCTCGCGAGTGCCATTCGCTCCTGCTGTTCCCGCATAAACCCACCAGAGGCCACTGACGACTGACTGACAGACTGACCGATCGACTGACCCACCCTCCTCCTTTCCTAAACCCAACCAATTGTATCAAGTGACCCGCCCACCCACTTCCCTAAACCCAACCAACATTTTTCAAAAGCGATTCAGAAAAAGAAAAGTCCTCGTCTGATTTTCACCACGTTTTCAGATTTTACCACATTCTCACCCTAATATACTTGTTGATTTAGTTTCGTGGATTCTGTTTTACCTGCTTTCTGGAACTGCGCTTCACTGGACTCAAACCTTCATCATGGTCAACTCCTCTCTGCATCTCAAGCAAGCCTGATCTCACGAGAAAACGTAAGTAGTTTACGTTTTGCCAGTTTAGTGGCCAGTTTAGAGTTGAGTCGTATGAAATTGTACGATTTTAAAAAAGAGGCGTGGCACCTAACCCCACCCCTAAACCCAACCATCATTGGGGAAGAGCAAATCGTACTAAATTGCACGAATTATATTGTACAAATTCATTCGAATTAGCCACTAAATCAAAAAGTTACGAATTGCCGTGAGATTGTGGGAAAGCCGTCCATATGGGGTAAGCGGTCAGCTGGTAAGCGTGAAACAAAACAGCATCATACCGCTTCGTATCGTTCGTTTTAAAGATAAAATGCAGCCATTCTGACTACATAATTCGTGATCTCCAGAATGTATGTAGATGTATATAAAGGATGTTTATCCCTTAATTTTTTTGATGGGATCAAATAAACTTTTGTAGTCATCTTAACTTACACCAGTCATGTATTATATTAGTATTATTTGTATTATTAGTACTACTAGTATTTATTATTATTAAATCATTAATTTCCCTTCTTTCATTTCCACACAGAAATGCCAACTGACCCAGCCAGGACTTGAACCAGCGACCTTCCTGCTGTGAGACGACATTGCTAACCACTGAGTAACCATGTCGCTATTATTATTATTATTATCATTATTAATGATTTAAAATACGACCAACATTATTCTGATTGTCATTTCTGTTTATACACATTCCTGTTTTTTCTGTTATATTATTTTTTGTTTACAATGTTTACCATAGCGATGCATTGGCGCAGTAGGTAGTAGCCTCACAGCAAGAAGGTGTGGAGTTTGCATGTTCTCCCTGCGTTTGCGTGGTTTGCAGGTGCTCCGGTTTCCCCCACAGTCCAAACACATGCGGTACAGGTGAATTGGGTAGGCTAAATTGTCCGTAGTGTATGTGTGTGAATGAGTGTGTGTGGATGTTTCCTAGAGATGGGTTGCGGCTGGACGGGTATCCGCTGTGTAAAAACGTGCTGGATAAGTTGGCGGTTCATTCCGCTGTGGGGGTCCCGGATTAATAAAGGTATTAAGCCGAAAAGAAAATGAATGAATGTTTACCGTATTTTGTATGTTCTGTGTTGTGTTTACTGTATGTTGTGTTGTAAATTGGTTTAATCTATAGGCTATATAGTAGAAGTCAAAAGGATAAGCTCTTCTGTGAAACTTTAAATCCTGTAAAAAATTCCCAAGAGCCGTTTAATGGAGAGAAATTTTTTTTAACATCGTAGTCTTAATAACTAATTTCTTTTGTCTTTCCCATGATGTCAGTACATATATTTGAGTTATTTTACAAGACAATATTCACCACGAAATGCAATTTAAAGGTGTAACTAGGTTATGGTACTGTAACTAGGATAATTAGGATAATTATGCAAGTTATTGTACAGCCATTAAAAAAAATCTTAAAGGGGCTAATAATATTGACAGTAAAAACTGCTTTAATTCCAGTCAAAATAAACCAAATAAGACTTTCCCAGAAGAAAAAAACTTCAAAGCAAATACTATGAACACTTCCTTGCTCTGTAACAGTAAACAACACTTGGGAAACATTTGAAAAAGATAATAAAATAAAATTGTCCAGCAAAGTTTGCCCTCAATTGCTGCCGTTTTAGCTTGTGAGCTGCATCTCTCTGTGTGTGTATGTTGTGGGAAGAGAAACGCTTGTGCTGTTGTTTATTGTGCAGTCTGAGGAATGTGTGTGCTCTGCTGAGAGTGTAATGGATTTAGTGGTGCTCGTTTGACCCGCGTCTGCTCGGCGTCAGTGCGAAGAGCCGCTAAACATGCGCCGCATTCCGGAGACAGAGACCCGCACACAGGTGCAGCACCCCCGCAGACAGAGCCCCACACTCGGGCAGACCTGCGGGCACAGGACACCCCCTCGCCGGAGCACATCACCTGCGGGACACGCCGAGCACAAGGAGCAGGATTGAGGACGGACAGTCCTCTTCAGAAAGCCGGTTAATTTTCAGCCACACACCCGCTGAGCGGCTCTCGGGTCCCGCAGAGCCCCATGCTGGACACCGGGCTAATGTGTGTCCTCTGATCTTCAAGATGAAGGATAAATAGGAGCCCGTGCTCCACTAAATGACCTGCCATTGTGCTTTGTTTGTCAGATTTTAAGGGATAGTTTATCCCAAAAATGAAAATTCGGTCATCATAAACTACTGTGTAAAAATATGATCAATTAGTCCTGACAGCATATGTTTTTAGGTCATTGTAACTCATTAAACTAAGTTAATCATGTTAACTTAATTTTAGAAGTTATGCAAGCTGTTTTAAGTTAGTTTTATATGTTCAATGGATGAGGTAAATTTCATTCAACTTAAAAAGGCAACCTGATTTTTTTTTTTACAGTGAACTTATCCTTCACTTGTTCAAAGCTTCATGAGTTTCTTTTTTTCAGTCGAACAGAAAAGAAGATATTTTGAAAAATGTTGCAAAAACTGTAAGCATTTCCATTGTATTTGTTTTTCTATCTTCAAAATATCCTTTTTTATTTCAAAAGTAGAAAGTACACTGAAAATAAAACTCCTGGTTGCCTTAAATTTCTAAGCTGAGTCTATTGATCTTATATATTGTTATATCTGACTTAAAACTGCTTGCATAATTTATACAAGTAAGTTAGAACATGGTTAACTTAGTTCATTCATTCATTCATTTTCTTTTCGGCTTAGTCCATTTATTAATCTGGGGTTGCCACAGTGGAATGAACCGCCAACTTATCCAGCACATGTTTTATGCAGAGGACGCCCTTCCAGCTGCAATCCATTACTGGGAAACATCTATACACAGTCATTCACACACACATACACTATGGACAATTTAGTTTACCCAATTCACCTATAGCGCATGTGTTTGGGCTTGTGGGAGAAACCGGAGCACCCGGAGGAAACCCAAGCGAACACAGGGAGAACATGCAAACTCCACATAGAAATGCTAACTGGCCAAGCCGAGGTTGAAAACCAGCAACCTTAGCTGTGAGGCGATCGTGCTACCCGCTGCGCCACTTATAGACTTTGTCTATAATTTTCCAGCAGGCATACTTTTACAATTAACTACACTGTAAAAAAATCCGTAATTTTATGGTTTATTTAGGGCAGCTGGGGTGCCGGAAAAACAGTAAAATAACGCCTGTTAAAATTACAGAAATATACCGTAAAATAATGGCTATTAAATTTCCTTAAATTTGAATTTCTGTAATTTAATATCCGTTATTTTATGGTATATTTCTGCAAATTAACGGCCATTATTTTACTTTTTTCCCGGCACCCCAGCTGCCCTAAATACACTGTAAAATTACATTTTTTTTACAGTGTATGTTTTTAAATATGGATTTGAACTATTTCAATGTAAAATTAATATTTTAATAGTATAATTAATCAAACGTGTTTTGTTTTGCACAAGAATAGACTTTAACACATGCATTAAACTATTTATTTTATTCATTCATTTTTCTTCGGCCTAGTCCCTTTATTAATATGGGGTCGCCACAGCGGAATGAACTGCCAACTTATCCAGCATATGTTTTACGCAGCAGATGCCCTTCCAGCTGCAACCCATCACTGGGAAACACACATACACACTCATTCACACACACATTATGTACAATTTAGCTTATTCAATTCCCCTATAGCGCATGTCTTTGGACTGTGGTGGAGCACCCGGAGGAAACCCACGCGAACGCGGGGAGAACATGCAAACTCCACACAGAAATGCCAACTGGCCCAGTCGGGACTCAAACTAGTGACCTTCTTGTTGTGAGGCGACAGTGCTAACCACTGAGCCACTGTGCTGCCTTATCAATTTACTTTAGATTATTATTATTATTACTCTTATATTTACTTCATAGCTTCCACTCACTCACACATTTTGTATTTAAATGTAGCTGTGCATAATATATAAATGATGTGTAAAACTCCAATGTTTGTTAAATGTTCTATACTTTAGTAAATAGCTTACTGATATATTTATTAATTATAAATATTATTATTATTATCTAATATAAAATCAAATCTTTCTCATAGTTGTAATAAAAATTTTTGTGTAAATCTCAGGCTGGAGTCAAGGGTTGTTTTTTCCCGCGGGCACCTGCAGGAGGCGTGGCCATCAGGGGCTGTTCTGGGGTGGAGCTATAATCCCCGCCCCCAGACGCTCCCTTATATGAAGAGTTCGCGTGCTCTGAATGGCAGCAGAAGTTCATTCATGTTCAACCTCCAGAGTTTCCTGCGCATCTGAAGGAGACGGATTCAGTCAAGAGCTGATCTAAAACTTTCGCTGAAGTTTCGAGGGGATATTTACAAAGATGCCACGCTCATTTCTTGTCAAGAAGTATTTCACCAACAAGAAGCCAAACTACAGTGAACTGGAGAGTCAGACTGGTGAGAGTGAAATTAAGAGATGTTTCTTTCATTTATTAAAAGATCTCAGTCGATTTGAACTAAAGTCATTGGTCATGACATTCTCTATATGTTGATATGTTTTATTTTACTTATTTTTTCAATTGATGTTACTTATAGATATGTTTTTTATTGTGTTATTTTAATTCTATATATTTTGTTACATTTACTATGCCTCTCTAAAATGCTTCAGCTATTCTCTCCGGGTATTTGGCCTCGGTAAAGTTAGTTTGACGTTTGACATTCATTAGACATTCGGTTACAAACCAATTAAATTCTTTGCTCAAAATATGAATTCAGTACTCTATAAAATCAATACAGGGAATACTGTAAAAAAACAAATCTTGTGCATCATAGAGGATAATATTTAGACAATTATAGATTTTATTTGAATATTGAATGTTTAATTGACTTTTAACATTTTTACATTAAAAGTTATTTAAAAATATTACAAAATAAATAAAGTGCTGATTCTAAAAGCAGATCTTGTGCAATAAGCAAGATGTTTTTCTGAACATTTTGGTACTGGTTTTATTGTATAATTTCATATGGTTGAATTGTTTAATTCATTTATATGCTTATTTTTTATCGAGAAATTAAGCCTTGTGCAACATAAAGGGCACATATTTATGCCTATCTGACCTATTTTTGGCTACACCTGAATCAGAAAGATGCATGAGTTTTTGTTCCACATTGGTATTTATGAATTTATTTGGTAGATAATTGTCAAATAATTTAGATTTTTTGGCCAAATAAATCTGTATAACTAAAAAAATATTAAAGAATAGGAAACATACTTTACATATCATTACATACTTTTAATTCTAAACCAAAAATAATGACACGTTCTGCACGATTTGCAGAATATCATCCTAGGCTTGTTGAATAAATGTTTAATGACACATTAAAAGACTACTTGAGAAACCAAATGATATTTAAAATGCATTTTACTTGTCATTTCAAGTGTCTTATACTTTCCTGCTGTCTTTCAAAACCCCTTGGGTTTTACCTATTTGTCAGGGTTTTAAAATCACTTAAAATAAAACAGAATATTTAGACCATTTCTGTTATGCATTTGATTAAGCACAGGACAGAATAAGCATGTTTTAAATAAGTATCTTACTCAAATTATTTCACTCACATTTTGAAATCAGGACAATCAAACAATCTGGACAAGCAATCAGATGAAGAATAAATAGGAAGTGTGTAATGTTTACGTCTAATTATTAGGAATATTTGTTGAGCATGAAATAAATCAGGACCTAATACATTGCATACCCGTTACATATTTCTTTATTTCTGAAACAATCATTATGACACATACACCACGGTTTACAGAATGCCATGTTAGGCCACTTGAGGAAGAGTTAATAGTGTATAAATTAACATTTTTGCATTCACTATCCCTTTAAGTATTGATTTAAGAATTTTTAGTATGTTAACCATTGCTCCCTCAGCAGCATAGCATGCTTTGAATGGCATCAAACCTTTTCTTTTGAATGCTAAAATGCTTCAGCTATTCTCACATTACTTTGATCTAAATCTGAAAGACACGTCCGCACCACATTGGTAGTTATGTGTAAATTTGGTAGATAGCAGTCAAATAATAGTTTATTTTTTTGAGCACCATATAAATCAGGTCTAATACGTAACATATCCACTACATATTTTTATTTCTGAACCAAAATGAATTACACAGTCACAGTTAATATATTAACTTACATGACCTCATTTAAAAGACACTAACAATACTTGTGCAGAATGTATTAATCAGCTCAGCATTTACTAATGTATTGTTAACATCCAAACTCATGCACTGAAAAAAGTGTTGCATGCAGAACTGTTGCAAACAATTTATTTGTGTTGAATTTAAACAAACAAATTAAATTTAATAATGTTCAACTTAATTTTTTTGTTTAAATTCAGCCCAAATAAATTTTTTACAACCACTTAACGTAAAAAAAAAGAGTAAATCCAAGGAATCATCTTTAAATATTTTTTTTCAGTGTGCTTGTTAATGCACCATGAGTTAACATGAACTAATAATGAACAACTGTATTTTTGTTAACTAACATGAATACAAATACTCTTACTCAGGGGTGTCAAACTCAATTCCTGGAGGGCCGAAGCCCTGCAGTTTAGTTCCAACTCTGCTCCAACACACTTACCTGTCGGTTTCAAACAAGCCTGAAGGACTCAATTAGTTTGATCAGGTGTGTTTAATTAGGGTTGGAACTAAACTGTGCAGAGCTGCGGCCCTTTTGGAACTGAGTTTGACACCTGTGCTGTAACTGTTCATGTTAGCAAATGCATTAACTAATGCAACCCTATAGTAAAGTGTTACTGATGAAATGTTTACCAAGATTTACAAATTGTCAGTAGTTAGGCCACTTGAGGAGAGTCAATGGTGTGGAAATGTACATTTTTGTGTGTACTATCCCTTTAAGTACTGATGGACTCCCAATAGCATGGCTGTATATGAGAGTCATTGTAGGTGTATATGCACATGTTTTATGTACAGTGTGTGTTGATAAGTGACGTTTGAATTAAATCCTGAATGGCCCCTCATACTCCAACAATCTAAACCAGTGGGTAACACTTTAGTTTAGGTCACAATTCCTACTATTTACCACTGGCTTATTACCTATTAGATGTTAACTTAAGATTATTAGTAGTTATAAAGTTTGTGTGCTGCATAGACATGGGATGATAACCGGTTTCAAGTTATACGGTGGTTTGTAAAAGTCATACTATTCTTAAGGTATAGGTAAGATTTTTTATTTATTTAATATTTTATTTATTTTTATTCATGATTTAGTTTTTTTTAAAGGAAAGATCTCCAAAGATGCTGTTTTAATTGTAAAGGAATCTGTGCTTTTGAAACTAATGAAGACAGCAGAAGTCAGTGGTTCCCCTGCTGAAAAATCCAGCTTAAACCAGCCTAGGCTGGTTGGCTGGTTTTACCTGGTTGACCAGCCTGGTTTTAGAGGGATTTTGGCCATTTCAAGGCTGGTTTCTAGCCATTTCCAGCCTAGTCTTAGCTGGTCTGGCTGGAAATTTGACCAGCCAAATCCAGCTAAAACCAGCTTGACCAATCTGGTTTAAGCTGGATATAGCTGGTTTTGGCTGGACTCCCGGCTGGTCAAGCTGGTTTTAGCTGGTCATCTCCCAGCCTGATCAGCTAAGACCAGGTTGGAAATGGCTGGAAACCAGCCTGGAAGTGGCCAAAACCCCTCTAAAACCTGCTTGGTCGACCAGCTAAAACCAGCCAACCAACCTAGGCTGGTTTAAGCTGGATTTTTCAGCAGGGTCTTCTGAATTATTTAGCCTGATGTTTACTGCTACAAATAGTTATAAATGTTTCTCAAAATAAAATAAATTATGTTCAAAGGGGGAAAAAGTGGTTGTTTTTTACCCAGACATTTAAAAAGAATATATTTTAGAGCAGTGATCACAATACCGTGATATATTTATGCAAGGTGATCATACCATCAGAATCTTATATCAGCCCATGCCTAATGCTGCATCCCTAATCCTACCCAAAACCTAAACACAACTTCCACCTTACTAACTATTAGTAAGCAGCTAATTAGTAGTTTATTAAGCTAGTAACCTGCTGAAAAATCCAGCTTAAATCAGCCTAGGCTGGTTTTAGCTGGTCGACCAGGCTGGTTTTAGAGGGGTTTTGGCCACTTCCAGGCTGGTTTTCAGCCATTTCCAGCCTGGTCTTAGCTGGTCAGGCTGGGAGATGACCAGCTAAAACCAGCTTGACCAGCCTAGCCAAGCTGGGAGTCCAGCCAAAACCAGCTATACCCAGCTTAAACCAGGCTGGTCAAGCTGGTTTTAGTTGGATTTGGCTGGTCATTTTCAGCTAAGACCAGGCTGGAACTGGCTGGAAACCAGCCTGGAAATGGCCAAAACCCCTCTAAAACCAGGCTGGTCAACCAGCTAAAACCAGCCAACCAGCCTAGGCTGGTTTAAGCTGGATTTTTCAGCAGGGTAGTGTTAGTTAATGGTTTGCTAATACAGTGATCTCTTCCCCAGACCGGCGATATGCAGTCGTCCCGCAGTGCTTCCCCCTGGATGACCCCCTGGTGCCCAAATATCCCTCCATGCTTGTGTGGAGCTCCAGTGCTCTGCCATTCCCTGGGGTCTCCTCCAGCGTGTCCTGCCCCCCCGCACCCCTGGACCTGAGCTCTCCGTCCAGCAGCAGCAGCAGTGGAGAGGAGGATGACTGCCGCACATCTGACCCGCCCAGTCCAGACCCCAGTGACCGCTTCCAGTGCGCGCACTGTGGGAAGAGCTGCAGCAGCCCCGCTGCTTTGTCCCGCCACCAGCTCGCACACTGCAGCC